TGTACTGTGGGAATTTGATAAGACTCACTTCTTTCTGACTTCCTAAACAAAGACAAGATGATATTTTTAGTGAGAAAAGATGTCTTAGACCATTTTCTGTATCTGTAACAGAATATCGGATACTGGCCTGGACTGAAGAGAGGTAACTAACCACATGTTAGATAGAGAAAAGTTTCAATGGGTTAAATAAGTTACAAGCTCGTCAGAGAATAGACCAAAGCTTACAGCCTAGGTATTTGATAATAAATAATTAGTCTCAGAGTCATCATTCCTGGATTTAGTATTTTTTAACAAGCCTGACCTGCAGTGTCACAGCAGAGAGAAGGAGAAAACGATGAAGAGGCAAGCACTCTGGGACAGGGCTCACTCTATAACATCTTGCTCCTAGGCCTGCCCTGGAAAACTGCCTTAATCTTCTGAACAGCCCAAGTGTTCTTAAAGGCACTACCATGTTACAATGCGATTTACTTGGGGACCAAATTTCAGCGTGCAGTTTGACTGGAACCAATCACAACAAAGACGTGATGAAGACAAAGTAAGCTCATCCCCAAAGAGCAAGCAAGAAAGCCTCTACATCTGTTGACAGTTGAACATAAATTGGACTTTGAACTCTTTTAGGAGCCCCATGGTTGAAAGGTAATAAGTTGGGCAAAGGGTGTAGTTTAGTGGGAAGAGCACTGGCCTAGCATGTGTGATTCCTTGGGTTTTGTCCCTAACACCACAAATAAGCAAGAAGTAATAAGTCTAGACCAGTGGCTCTCAACCTTCCTAATGCTATGACCCCATAATGCAGTTCCTCATGTTGTAGTGACCACCAACCTTAAAGTGATTTGTGTTCCTACTTCATAACTGTAATTTTGTCACTGTTGTGAATAGTAATGTAAATATCTGTGCTTTCCAATGGTCTTAGGCAACCCCTGTGAAAGGGACATTTGATCCCCCAAAGGAGTCACAACTCACAGGCTGATATATCAACCCCTGATATAGAAGGTATAATCAAATAAACTTCAAATAAGTATCATTAAGAATTATTAGGGTCTGGAGAGATGGCTCAGTGGTTAATAGCACTGTGACTGCTCTTCTAGAGGTCCTGAGTTCAATTCCCAGCAACCACATGGTGGCTCACAACCATCTGTAATGGGATCCTATGTCCTCTTCAGTGTGTGTGTGTGTGTGTGTGTGTGTGTGTGTGTGTGTGCGTGTGTGTGTGTGTGTGTGTGTAAAATAATTATCATACCAGGTAATGGTTAAACTCCTTTAATCCCAGCACTTGGGATGCAGAGACAGAAGGATCTCTTAGTTTGAGGTCAGCCTGGTCTACAAAGTGAATTCCAGGACCACCCAGGTATCAAAGACTTGCTCAATGGACAAATAAGCCAAAAGAAAAAAATAAAAATACAAAGCTTAATGCATGTAGCCATCTGCCAGAGTATTGGGGGTACTTTGGTGGACCAACCTAGATCATATACTCTGCTTTTAAATTATTATTCTCTGAAGCTAATTTTTAATATTCATTTCCACCTTATTGATTGAAAGTATCTTATTTTAAGAATTACTTAAAAGTCTCCCAGGGCCATATTCAGGTCAAAAATCCATCCTGAACTACAGTGATGTGCTGTTCCACTCAGTTCTGCAAGTATTTGTTACATGCCTGTATGGTACATGCTGCAGCAAGATTCAGAAAGATGACAAGAGACCCTGATTGTAGGGACCAGTGGGCTGGTCTGATAGAATATATGATAGGGATGGATTAATGCTAACAACCAACAGACAAGGTCCTTAAAGTTCTTCAAGGGAAGCAGTAAGTCAGAGCATGGGTTTAGGTAGGGATAGGATTAGCGGAAAAAAAAAAAGAACAAGAGGAGACAAGACAGTAGGAACATGTGGTCCTCACTCAGGGAACATTTGGTGAGAATTCAAGAATACAGAAGGTGATGGGGTGGAGCATTGGCTCATGCCCTAAGCTCATGGTCTTCAAAACAAGTGGAAAATCTCAAGATCACAGCTGTGGGTCAATTCATTCATCTTTAAAAATAGTCCTTCTCCAATTGGAGATAACATTTAGGAAGATAAAAGAGTACATGTTGTCTACATCTCTACAGGGCCTGTTTGATTCTTGCAGAGAAGAAACTGGCAACATCTTGCATTTCTAATTTCATTCAGGCACATTCTCAAGGATGAGAAATAGTAACTTTCATTTCTTAATGTATGGACAAGCTATATATGACTACAATAGTTAAAACTATGTTTACTATATAATAATAGTTATAAGCCTCTATTCAGGCATTCAAGGATGAAAATCCTACTCTAGATCACAATCCAAACTTATGCAAGAAATTTCTCAATTTTATGTTAATTATCCTATGAAAAGTTATGAGTCATTGCTGAAGGACAATTAACCTGCAGATCCAATAATCTGGCCCACTCTTGCTTTATAGGAAACACTTGCATGGATTATCCCTATGTTATAATTTTTTGTTGTAGATACTGATGCTAACAGAAACTTCAGCCACAGGACATCAACAGGAAAATCTCCAACTAAGCTGACTTCTCCACTGGAAAGGAAGCATAAAAAATATCCAAGCAGAGAAAAAAAACAGTGAAAACACAAGTAAATGACAGATTAAATATCAACTACATGTCTCTAGAACACAAAAACATTGCAAACAGGAACAGAAGAAATTAGTGGTTTCTCTGCCCTCTGGTGGCAATAAAACCAACCACAGCATTAGAGAAGTAAAAAGCACAATAAATCTGTTATGAAATCAGACGTTTTCCCTTTGCCAAAATGCCCGTAGTAAAAACTCTGATTGCTACATGTAACCTTTCACCTTCTGAATTTTTTTATGGGTATTTAATTTTCAGATAAGTCATCTTACAATGAAAAATGAAGCATTTTCCCCCCGGTCTGTGTTACCTTTCTGTGTTATATAGTCAGTAGGTTTAAACCACTTAATTTTGAGGCAATTTTATACAACTTCATGCAGAGTGTTTTTTGGCTTACAGCAAACTCTCTAAAGAATAGATAAAATAGTTAATTCCCCCTACCCAGTCCTGTGAGCACAATGTTTCTAAGAGTTCCACCAGAAATAGTGAGTTAGTTTTAAATGCTGGCATGTTTATGTTATCAACATAGGCGAGCCATACTCCCCAAAGCAAAAGCTGGTCTGTCCTAGAGTACAGTGGATTTTCTCCTCAGGTTAAAGCCTTAGAATAGCAAACTCAACATGGGTGTCTGTGTATTCTGTACTCAGTAGTAGAAGAATGAAGATTCCTTGCCTCTCTTTTATGTAGATTTGCTGTAAATCCATTATTTACTTCCAGTTCCAAAGAAGTTTTTAAACAAACAACTCAGGATGAATCCCACTTCCTCTTTCGCAAAATTGTTTTGCATGTTCATTTACTTCAAATATGCTGATGGAGATGACTACTGCATCTTTTAAAGTGCTACTTTCTGAAGAAAGTATTTCTTTCAACCAATGCAATGTGCCAAGAAAATAAACAGAAATATGGTGTGCTGATATAAATTATAAATAGCCAAGAACTTATGTTCATTGATGAGGATGACTGCAGGTGACAAAAAAAAATCCAAGGATTTTAATCTCAGCTTTTATCTTGTGGTCCTTAAGGCCCCTCACCTGGACACGGACACACACACACACACACACACACACACACATACACACACGCACACACACTTTCCACCCTTAAATAGGAGCACCAAGAAACTCTTCTTTCTCTCTTAAAATTTGAACTGGGGGTAAACACACTTGGATTATCCTGTGTGTCTCAAAGTGGTAAATTTTTATTCAAGGTTTACGTAAACACTTATCATCACCTGGAGCCCCCAGGTGTCCCTCCCAGACTTCTTCCTGTGACTCCTTGAAGGTTGACAGCTGGGTATAGATGCATACTTTCTGAGGAACCATTTACCACTCTTTCTTAAATTAAACAGAGACATGTACTGAGCAGAAACAGAACAAAAGTGATTGTCCTAACCAGGAAGTTTTCCTTTCTTTTTCTCTTCAAGTGCTCTTTGCTCTCACTCCCGCTGGGAGTCTACAAGAGTTCACAGATTCCTGCCCAGGTGTTTCACTGACCTGCCTGTTCGTTTCTTTGCTGAAGGGCAGAAATAGGGAGCAATCTGTGGAGTCACAATGGATAGAGTGGTCTTGGGAGAAAGCTGGACTAGCCAGTCCCCAGTCTGTTCGAGGACACTATTCACTACCACAAACCTAGCCAGAAAGGCCACCAGGGCATGGGGTGTGACCAATTGCAAGGTTCTGGAGGCCCTCCTCCTCCTCCTCCTGGGACAGTCTCAAGGAACCCTGAGGAACTGCTGGCACTTTGGGGGCCTGTCTGTGAAGCTGACAGACAGAGGACAATGGGACCAGGGCTTTTCCTCAGAGGCACACCCGTCCTCATCTTCTCCACCTCTTCTCTATCCCTGAGCCCTGCTTCATCTACTGCATCCACTTCGTAACCCCACGTTGAGAAAGCTAGTGAGGATAGCCAGAAGGAGGGATCTGCAGCCACAGGCATTTTCCTTTGGCATGGGGCGACCTGCCTTTTCTGACTATCATCAGATCATTCATGCATCCATTCCTTCCGCGGCGCACAGGGAAGAGCTTCTGAGCTCCAAGGGAAGAGAAGCCAGAGAGGAAACAACCTGATGTAACCAAGATTCAGAGAGAGAGGTATCCGCAGCTGCTGGCTCTCTCACACCTGGACCTCCTTGGGCTACTTGAGGTCGAGAGGACCACCCCCTGGCGCCCAGGTGGAGTAAGCACCGTAGCTTCAGGGATGTCCTGGTTTCCAACATCTTCTGAACCAGCAAGCCTCTTCCACCATTTGAGAAACTCAAGTTTCCCAGGCAAACAACTAGGATAAGTTTCCCAAGGGCAGATGCTTTGGGTGGATGTGAGTTGGGGATTGGGATTCCGAGACACCGGACCGATCTTCAGCTACATACAAAAACAATCGAGAAAAGTACTTCTTACCATTGGTATGGTGTCCTGGCTCACCATGGGCGAACTGGAAGCGGTCTGTTAAAAAGTGACAAAGTAACATAACTCCTGCAGCGGCCAGGTCTGCCCTCCGGAACCTCGCCATGCCGCTGCCTCGACCTCCCTCCCTTGCCCAGCGAATTTTTCTTGAGGCCCGGGGCTCCGGGGTTATCCCTGGGGATGGAGCGACACGGCCGAGCTCTGCGGGTGATTCTTGGGTGAGATCCGGAGGCCTCTGACAGTTCGATAGGATTTCACTCCGGGTAGGGAAGGAGAGACAGCCCAGCCCTCTCCCAACTTCAGGAGCTCTTACGGCAACTTGTCACTCTCGCAGCCCCCAGCAGAGACAGAATCAACCAAGTGCCGGGAGGAAAGGTCACTTGCAGTCGGGCCCGCAAACTCCCGGGTCCTCGCAGGCAACGCCACCCGGGCGCCCACAGACCGTGACTTCCCAGCGCCCGCGACGCGCTCCACTGGGTTCAAAACAGATCTAATTCCACTGGCTGCGCCGGTGCCTTTCCAGATCCAAGAGGGCGCTGAGCACCGGAGGAACTTTCCCAGACTTAGGACTGGCCCCGGCGGGCTGTTGGTGTTCCCGAGAGAAGGAGGTTAGTGGAGGCTGGAGAAACCCCTCCGACAAGTTTTTCTGCTTTGCTTCGCCCAAGGCAGAGCGCGCGTCCTCGGCCGGCAGCCGGAGGGGTGGGCAGCTCCGGAGAGTGGAGCCGGGGAAGGACCAGCTGCTGTGAGCAGAAGAGGGGTGGGGGTATGTTTTAAAGAAAAAGAAAAACAGGGGAAAGTGAGGCTGCAGCTTGGTGAGAGAGCCCCTCCGGGTTAGGGAGGAGGTGGCTCCGAACACCGCGGAGCCCCAGGAGTTTGGTGGCGGAGGCGCCGCCGCGCTCCCCCGCGCTCGAGCTCTACACTTTGGGGAGGGAAGGCGGCTTGCCATTTGCTAGATCTGCGGCGGAACCCTCCTCTCTCTTCCCTCCGCCCTCCTCCCTCCCCCTCTCTTCTCCAGGCTTCTCCCACCTTCCTTCTCCCGAAACCCGCAGCCGGCACCGACCTGTCCAATGGCTGAGCTTTTCTCAGGGGGGCGCCAGAAAAGTCTCCCACAGATGAAGCCGGGGAAGACTGGCTGGGGGAAGCCAGAGGACCATTGCGGCCCCACGCGCCCCGGGGATCCCGAGGACTAGTATGGTGCGTTGGGTGGTGGCAGATCCTAGTCGCCCGGACGCCATCGGCCCACCAGGCTTGTGCCCTATGCAGCGGGACCAACGCTGCCTGCACCCACCAGGCTCCCAGGGCTTTTGGGTGCCAGCCTGCGGGTGGAGAGTGATGAGGACCCCAGCGAGCGCCCACTATCTTCTGGGTTCGGCCTGGGCACTAAAGGGTTAATAACAATTCATCCCCCTCGCTGAGGGCTAGTCTGGCAATGGTTCGGGTGTGGGGGGAAAAAAAAATCAAACCTGAGTCTCAAGGGTTACTGACATCCCAATCCCCAACCCCCATCCCATCAAAAACCCCTCCTACCCCAGACCCGCACCGAGGGTAGTGGAAGGTGGCTCTGGGCTGCAGGGTCCTGAGGCCGCCGCCGCGGTTTAGTAAAGTGTTAGAAGGAGTGAAAGGGAGAGTTTAAAGGAACAGGAAGCCCATTGAATTTCCTATGGGGGCTTTAAAGGGCTTTTGCTTGCTAGTTTGTTTTTGTTTTTTTCAGCTTGAGGATCTGCTTCGGCTTTAACCCCTTCCAGGCCTCTCATCCGCTTACATTTTATTTTGCATACAGTTAACCACCTTTTAATGGGGCTAAATAGAAAGCAAAGAGACAATGCATCCTTGGTGAGAAGTACAAGCTCCAGAGCACTGCCTGGCTAGTACTTCAATTTTTTTCCACAAGGAGCAATTTACTGAAGCTTTAAGTCTCAGATCTCCAGGCATCAAATCAGGAAGATTCTATACTGAAGTTCACAGAAGGTCCTAGCAGTGAAGATTAGCCAAGTGAACTTATTTTTATTTTAATCCTCTCCTTGCCTGAATAGCTCTTTCTTGAAGACAAAACGAGAACTAAATTAACACATTTGTAAGTGTTCTGGGTTCAACCAATCCTTGTAGCCTGTTCTTGTCCTGGCCTTTCCACACTTTGAAGAATCCATGGATACTATGACTCGATCTCTCTAATTGTAGCAAAACTCACTGGAAGTGGGCCGAGATGACTGCAAAATTCGGTACAGAAATTTTGTCTTTCCACTGAAAAACATTAACAAGCCTGATTTCTCTAAAATAAGATGCATTTCTCTATTTCGGGATATTTGTGAAGGTTTACATGTGCCATGTAAACCTTTTATTATCCCAAGATGCTTGACAAATCCTGAGCTTTCTTCTGAGTGGTTGAAGTCTTCTTGCCAACCAGACTTAGGAGTGCAATCCTCTTATTTCTGCTCTACCAAGAGTGTTTTAAGTTCTCGATTACATTACATCAAGTTTAAAACAGTGGTTGTCTAAAACTTAATTGGACATTCACTGATGTTGAGTTTGCCTTCTGCACTTTGAATGGTTGACACCTGCTAGCTTCACAAACACCACACACCACACACACACACACACACGCACACACACACAAATCAAACAAACAAAAAACAGGTCAGCAGCTATAACAGAAACCCAGGTAGAGAGTTGTTTCCTGGGCCCTTTATCCATCTCCAGTTTTCATAACTTCCACAACTGTAGGAAACAAGCAATGATCAGAACAAGTTAGGTCTTAGGTCCCCCTGTTTGCACACAGTAGAAAAAAATAACACCAAACAAAAACCCATTTCCTCTCTGAGAAGGCACAAGCCTCCATCTCCTCTCTCATTCTCACCTCTTTTTCTTATTGTTTATGAAGATTAGTAGTATTTATTTTGTTATTGTTTGCTGTCCTTGGCCATATTTTGCCCTCTTGAAGACAGCTATAAATACACTTTTGTCAGTGAAAATTAGTTGCTACAAACTGAAAGTCAAACAAATGGCAATTTAGATTTAATTTGGTGGATTTGCACCCTTTGGTCTCTAGCAGAGCTGCTGTTCAATTTCAGTGCTTTATTCCTATCTGTATCTTACTTTGGCAAACTTGTACATGTGTCTACTTCTGGTGGGTTTTTAAAAGATCAAGCCTATTTATGGCTTCCATGAAGTCTTCAAGGTGTGGAATCACTTGATCAAGAACCTAATGGTGAACCTAGAATGCAATCAAATATGTTATTCAGTTTAGTGCCCACTTACCCAACAGCTATAGAAGAATCTCAAAATGAGTAAAAGACTAGCATGCATTTAATTAACTAATTTATTTATTTATTTATTTATTTATTTATTTATTTATTTTCACTTATTCACTTCACATCCTGCTTACTACCCCCTCCCACAACCCTAATGCTCCTCCTCTTCTCCTCTGAACAGGTAGAGCTCCCCTAGGGTATTCTCCCCTTCTTGGCACATCTAGTCTTTATGAGGCTAGGCACATCATCATACTTTCTAAGGCCAGACAAGGCAGCCCAGCTAGAAGAACATATCCCATGTACAGACAACAGTTTTGGGGGCAGCCCTGCTCCAGTTGTTTGGAACCCATATAAAGACAAAGCTGCTCATCTACATATGTATGAGGAGGCCTAGGTCCTACCTGTGTGTGTTCTTTGGTTGGTGGTTCAAAGACTAGCATTTTTGATAATATACCACTCAGAACTAAATCACAAGGGAGAACTTTGCAATATATCTAGGATGTGGTACTTTGCCTTAAATGTCTACCAAAATTTATTTGTATAAATGTATTTTGCCTTTATATTGTAGTAATATCAAATAAAGAAAATATATGTCACACAGTATGTTCAGAGTAGAATGGTAAGAGTTGACTACACATATAGCTCTGGCTAATTAAAGGTGATATACTATGTGTCCTCAGTTGTTAAATCTGTGTTGTATGTTTCACCACAGGACAAGTGTGTCACCTGTCTGGTGACTAAGATAGCTCTGTAGGAAAAGTTTCATCATCGGCCACAGACATGTGAGAGTTGTTGTAGTACTGGAGTTTGTTTCTAACTATTAAAGGTACAGGAAAGACAGGCATCTCTCTTACCTACTGGGTTTCTTTAAGATAATTTCCCAAGGTACAGATGAATTAGAAAGTGCAAATGAGTAGTCCTTGGTTTTTTTTAATAGTAAGACCTAGAATTCACAGGATACTTTATCCTTGAAGATGATACAGCAGAATCACTACTAACCACGCAGAACATTGCATAGACACAAACTTGAGATAACTCTTCAGATTTCAAACCTTTGAAAACACCCAATCTTTTCATTAACCTTCAATATTTTTTTTCTTAAATAATTTTTTTTTGTAGCTGTCCGTGAACTCTCTGTGTAGTTGAGGATGGCCTTGAGCTTCTGATCCAACTGCTTCTATCTCCAGACTGCTGGTACTTCAGGCTCTTGTGATTATATGGATCAAGTTCAGGATCTTATCAACTGAGCTAAATGCCTAGTCTTGCAACCACAACCACATATATATTACAATCAGGATATATCTGAATGAGGATATTTTCAGTCAACCCTCTCATTGGCTGACAGAATGTCTAAGAAATCATCATACAGATGTAGACCAAAAACAAAACCTGAGATGTTATGTAGGCTAAAGAGAATCTACTTTTCATGTTCTCCTTCAAATTCATTTTCAGGAAATAATTTGTATCCATTTAACAGTACTTGTTGAAATTTTCTATCATTGTCATCTGATGAAGGGACATAGCTAGTGGGTTTTTTGTTTTTGTTTTTTTTTGTTTTTTTTTGTTTTGTTTTGTTTTGTTTTGTTGTTTTGTGTGTGCAGTTTTATGCTATAACCTCTGCTTAGGTCAACAACATTTCCTCTTCCTCCTCATTGGATAGGGCCAACTTTTTGATCTCTCTTCTGCAGTTACAAGACTCGTTTGTTCATCTTGGCTAACCTGAACTCAAAATCAACTTGACTTTTATTATGTGGTTGGTGGTGCCTCACCTTTCTTTTTTTTTCTTTTATACTTTTAAGCAGTAAATTTTATGAATGGAGCATTTTAAATTCAACAAGCATTAAAAAGAATTACCAAGAATCTGAAACTTCATCATTACCAATAGGAAATTTAACATACAGGAATCCTTGCTGCCTATTAAGCCTTATATAATTGTTACTTTTACCATTTAGATGAGATTAACAACATCACTATATTTCACACATTTTTGTGAAAAATATGTTAATATAGCATAGATTTATATTGTTTGGAAACATAAAATCCTTAAGGGAATTTGGCCAACAAAAAGCAGTATATAAAATGAGCAACCTAAGAAGGAAAAGAACAAATTGGAACAGTACACTGTTTAAAGGCATAAGGTAAGAGACAGTGCAAAAATGGAAGCATACACCTTATTTTAAAATTACTAGAATCAAAGATGAATTAGTGATTGGATTTCGGGGGGAAAAAAAGCAAATGCTTGGCAAATACTCAGTGAGTTATAAAATGGATACCCTTGTTAAAGATTTATGAATAATGTACAAATAACACCATGATGAAAGGGGCATGTTCATTGTTGATTTAGTTATCTGGATTTCTCTGGACTGATAACAAATATCTGCAACACAGGAAACTTGGTTCTTGGGAGTCAACCTCAGGGAAAGTCACACTTCTACAGAAACTTAACAGAAGCCTCAACAGCCAGCACATGTCGCAGGGCTTTGTGCACTTGTTAGTGTGTCCTGTGCTACAGAAGTTCAGCCTCTGTCAGGACTCAGCCCTGTGGCTTAACCTCCATGTCTTCACTAACCTTTACCTCCTTTGTTTCTAGTTTTCTTTTTACTCTCATAGCTGTGAATTTTTGAGTTCTAGTTCACACAGCTTGAGAGCTATCCTCTTATAATACACATCTCAGTGGGTTTTAAT